TGAGAAAGTACCTGTCCGTTTCTGGTATATATGGTTTATGAGTTTTACTATTTTCAAAGAAAAGAAAATAAAAATAACTGGGCTCTTTGTCAAAATAGAAACTAGTGCCTGCTGCACAAGTAACGACCATGTATAAAAAAAGAAAATATTTGGATTCTTTGTCAATGGGATCAGTAGTTATATAGCCCTTGCTATAGTTCTAAAATTGCTCATAGAAGTAAATGTACCTCATGATCCATGAAAAAGGATTTTTTGAGAATAAACCCTAACTTACCATTTAAAGTGTTATTATTGGATACGTATCAATATCATACAGGCATTTGAGCTCAAGATCTATCTCCCCTTGAATGGATTTAAACAAAGCATATATTTTCTAAAACAAGTTATGAAGAAATGTTAGTCTATGGAATTCAACAATGATGTCTTAATTTCTAGATTATTCTGCTATCATTACAGCATTCCAAATGGAAAAGTAGAATAAATGTCTCAGCTTTCAGAAGCTTTACAAATTCCTGCAGTTTCTATTACTGGAACTTTGAATAAGAAAATTGTGGGACTATTCACAAAAAAAAAAAGAATTTGTAATGAATAATATTGTAGCTTTCAGTAGCTGGAGAGATGGCTCAGTGGTTATGTCCTTAACCCACCACTATCTGAGCACGTCTTTTGGGTAGATACAGATGTGTTAGTGTAAACCACTCCTAGTATCCATACTCCTCCTTGGAATAATTTGACTTACCTGAATAATTCTGATGGGACTCCATATAATTTTACTTATACGCATAACAGGGAGGCAATACGAATTGTAAATGGTCCTTGGTTTTCACTGGGATTTCAGCAGTGGGCACAACCTGGTATTAAAATAGGAAAATCTGGAACTTATACTCAAAAACTCTGAGCATAATCCATGACTGAGACCTGGGATAATAATAGTGGAAATTATGAATTTGCATACCCTCTATGTTCAGATTTTAAATATTATAGTTTAAAATATCAGCAGCTTATTTAGAAAATTTTTTGGCAAATTTGGAAAATTATTCAAAATAAATGGATCAATTGTCGGCCATGTGGTGAAAGGAATATTACCTCTTGTGATTTGCTTAATGGTACCAGGATGAATCTAGCCAATAATAAATGATAAATGGAAGCTGTCATGGGGAGATGGAAGAATCAGGGATGATCTTATTGCCTCATTCACAGTGCAAACTGCAATACAGACGCATATTTGGCAAATCGTAGGCACCATAAAATAGTAGGTTTTTCATGGATCATTAGTTGGAACAGAAATATCCAATCATTTATTTATCTTATTTAGCAATAATGCTGTTATTGCTTCTGTCCCGCTACCATATGTATTTTTATGTGAATGAATGAATTTTACACAGGAATTAGTATTAAGGATTATCAATTGCAGTCATGCGCTAATTCCTCTTTTCAGTTTAATCCTCATCATCAGTTATGATACTAGAGCATCATACACAAATTTAGCTGACTGTAAACTTAGGTCATTCTTGGGCTCAAAAGTTTTCTCGATCATATTTTTGTTGAACTCTTCAATAAGACATTGGAAAGAACAAAGTTCATGTTAGGTTCAGTAATAGCTGTAATCCCTGACCTTGTTGCTGCTGCTGATGCTGCTGATGTGGCCGGTATTGATTTACATACATCCCTGCAGACAAAACACTGTAGAGCAATGACATATTCCAATAAACGAGTTTCAGCAAGTTAAAATATATGCTCGACTTTAGTGCATCATTGTCTGTCCAAACTGTGGGTTTGCTGATAAAAAAATTGTATCGTTGCAGGAACAAATTGCTTGTGTTGTGATTGGAATTCAACCACTATTTGCATTACTGATTTACGTTATAATGATTCTTCACAGGAATGGAATGATTTTCCAGCTTATATTTTGGGCAATGCCTCTGCTCAATCTTTCAATGATCACTTACATGATCAATTCAATGATCACTTACATGGGACTTTTGCTAAATCATAAGCCTCGAACGCTGCACAAATTTTTGATGACAAATTGGCAGGATTAGATCATGAGGGATTCTTACAAAGCATTCTTCATACCTCCAGCGGTATAATTCTCATAATCATGCTTATACTTTTTATGTTTGATTATGTATCAGTTTAATATTTGACTAAACATAATAATTACATACTTTATGGTTAAAACTCCTTTTTAATTCAAGTAAAAATTAAATAACTATGAAATTGTGGAGACACAGAACTGGCTCAAAGTGCAGTCCCTCCTGGGGCAGATGAGATGAAGCTCGGAAACAGTTGTTTTACACCCAAGCATAGATGAAAGCAAACTTTCTCTGCCCATTTTTCAAATATTATGTCTGAATCAGAACCCGGGATCAGTGGTTCTTTACTGGGATGGACTTTGAGCTCAGTTCTTCACACTCCACCAGTTATAAAAGAGTGCTTTGCTTATGCATTGTTTCTGCCTTGTTTCTATGTAATTCTTTTCATTCTTATCAGTGTTATTAATTGAGGTATTGTTTCTGGCGTGGAGAGGCAAGTTTCTCATGACCATGTATGTGAGTCAGGGGAGGGGTCAGAGTTAAGGTTCTGCTTTTTACTATGTATAACAGGACATACTAAATGAATCTTGCAATACTTTTGTTAGTACTCTTCATGCCTGTATTGATTTGCATGAGACACATACCCAGGGACCGCGAAGCAATAGATGAATACATGGTAACACTAACCAAAGTTAAATACATCTATGAAATTAACTTTTAGCTTTTGGTGAGAGAAATTGAAGAATATACCAGGAAATGGAAATATCTCGCCATGTTCTTAGAGAGGATAGACAGAATAAAAACGGCAATCTGTCAAAAAGCCATCTATAGATTAAATGGAATCCAACAAATTCTTAATATCCGTTTAAAGAAGAATCAATATCAGAAAAACCAAGGATAGCCAAAAGAATCCTGTACAGGAGAGTATCCTCCATTACAGAGATAAATTAATGAAAACAGCTTGGTATTGGCATAAAAGCAGAGAACTGACCATTGGAATCAAATCAAAGACGCAGATGGTAATCCACACAGAAGTTCAGCTGACTTTTGACAAAGAAGCTAAAATTAAACACTGAAATAAAGATAGAATCTTCAACAAATGGTGCTGGCATAACTGTATGTCAACACGTAGAGGAAAGAAACCAGATACATATCCATCAACATGCAAAAAACTAATGTCCTGCCCTGCCCTGGGAACACAGGACAAAACCCCAAATTCCCCAAAACTGCCCACCATTCAGAGGGGCTTCTCCCTGGCGGCTGAATTTCTCTACTTGTCCCATCCCTGCTTGACACCGAGGAATCCTGTCTTTCTGCAGGCAGCTGGGGTCACCACCATCCACTCCAGGGTGGAGTGGATGTAACAGACTACAGAGCTAAGAAAACTATGAGAAGGCAGAACAAGAAAAAACAAGCAGACAGGCAGCCGCAGCAAAGTCTGTGCAGAGCAGCCAAGACTCTCCTGACGGGATTTGTACAGATGCGTATACGTTAATATAAGAATACCTCAGACAGGGCTGGAGAGATGGCTCAGTGGTTAGAGCACTGGCTGCTCTTCCAGAGGTCCTGAGTTCAAATCCTGGCAACCACATGGTGGCTCACAACCATCTGTAACGGGGTCTGGCGCCCTCTTCTGGCTGCAGGCATACACACAGACAGAATATTGTATACATAATAAATAAATATTAAAAAAAAAAAAAGAATACCATGAACAGTTGAGCAAAGGTCCTTATGGTAGGATCTTTTGTATATATGTCCAAGAGTGGTACAGCTGCGTCTTGCGGTAGATTGATTCACAAATTCCTGAGGACTGCGTGTTGATTTCCACATTGGCTGTCACTTGCACTTGCACATGTCCTTGCCAGCATTGGCTGTCACTTGTATTATGGATCTTAACAATCTAACAAGTGTAAGATGAAATCTCAAAGTCGTTCTGATATTAATTTTCCCTGATGGCTAAAGATGTTGTACGCGTCTTCAAGTGTTTCTCAGTGACTTTGGATTCTTTTACTGAGAATTCTGTTCAGAGGTTGCTCCCCGTTATAATCGGATTATTTGCTTTGTTGTTGTCTAGTTTCTTGAATTCTCAAATATCCTAGGTGAAGAAACCAAGAATCACATAGAAATGTGATATTTACTCACTTATAGGTGGATATTAGCAGTTAATCACATAGAAATATGATATTTATTCACTTGTAGGTGGATATTAGCAGTTAATCACATAGAAATATGATACTTATTCACTTGTAGGTGGATATTAGCAGTTAATCACATAGAAATATGATATTTACTCACTTATAAGTGGATATTGGCAGTTAATCAGTTAATCACAGTTAATTACAGTTAATCACAGTTAATCACAGTACAGCTCTAGGGGAGATGCATGGATCTCCTTGGTACGCAGAAATAGAACAGATCTTGTACGTAAACTGTAAGTGACTGTGAGATTTCTTAGTGGTCTAACTTGAACCCCACGCTGTGAGAGGAAGCCCATAACTGACACTGCCTAGATGGCCAGGAATTAGAAATTGAACGGCTCAGAGAACAGGGGTAGAACCAAATAACTGACTGAGAAAAAAATATCAATAAAATGATTCTTAGATATTTCCTGCTATAATCATAGGTTGGCACCTGGCCTACTTGTTATTAAAGAGGCTTCTTCGAGGGGCTGATGTTAGCCCAGCAGAGATCCTTACCCAAACATAAGCTTGAGCTGGAGTGATCTTGTAGAAGAAGGGTATGAGGATTGTAGCATTTAGTGGTTGAGAAAATCAGGATAACATGGCCCGCACAATCCACTAATTAGGGCATATAGTGGCTCAAAGAAAACTGAAGTCGCAATCACAAGAGTCTTCATGGCTTTGTGCCAGGGCCTCTGCACACATGTTATGGTTGTTTAGCTTGGGGTGTTTGTGAAACTCTTAAATGTAGGAGTGATGGCATCTCTGAATCTTTCGTCTGTTTTTAGGTCCCTTTTCCTTCTATTGCCTTGGTCTTGTCCAGCCTTGAAATAAGAGTTTGTGCCTCGTATTATTGCACCTAGGTATGATTTATTTGGTTGATATCCTTGGGAGGTCTGCTGCTTTTTTTCTGAAGGGAAAAGGAAGCGGTGGGGATGGGACAATGGGGATTTGGTGGGGGAAGGGACTGGAATGAGTAAAGGAAGGGGATAATTGAATCAGGATATATAGAATGAGACAAAAAATAAAAATAATAAAATGCATTTAGTCTAACTTCAATGATCCTTATCATCTGTAGCAGCCCAAACATCACAAATGTCCAAAGTCTCTTATGATATTTAAGACAACCTCTTGACTGTCACATGTGGTAAAAATTAAAACAACATATAATGGCACAGGGCATATTCCCATTCATAAAAACAAGAATATGACTGTGTTACAGCTCACATCCTAGGCAGACTCGTGTATGTCACAGCAGACAGAAGTACAGATTCAAACTGGTTCAAACTGGATCACAACAGTGTAGACAGGTTCAAAACTTGATCAAACTGCACCAGAATGAATCAAACTGGTTCAAACTGAATTAAAACAGTGTAGAGAGGTTCATAACCGGACTAAACTGGTTCAGACCAGATCAAACCAGTGTAGACTTCTTCAAAACTGGATCAAACTGGATCAAACCAAAATAAACAGGATAAATCCAGATCAAAACAGTGTAGACAGGTTTAAAACTGGATCAAACCAAATCAAACTGGATCAAATCAGTGTAGCCAGTTTAAAAACCGGATCAAACTGGATCAGAACGGATCAATGATCAGACCAGGTAAATCAGGTTCAAACTAGATCAAACCAGTGTAGACCAGTTCAAAACCAGATCCAACTGGATTAGACCGCATCAAACTGGTTCAAACTTGGTCAAACCCATGAAATTTCCACACTCCCTACATCCCCACAGACACAATCTTCCAGCAACCCTACAGCTGCCACCCCCAAACCATGTAGGCACCACTGTATCAGATGCACAACAGCCTCTGCTAAAGTGCAAGCCACATCATCCAGAACAACGGGGAGGGAAACTGAGGCAAAGACTCTCTGCTGGACCAGAACCTATGGAAGTCACCAGAAATTCACATAGGATTGTCTGTGCACCTCCTCCATTCTTTTAATAACCCCACAACACTATCTCCAATCCCAACCAGATGCTTGGACATCAACATAAAAACACAATAACAGACAGAGCAATAAGTCACTGCCAGATTGCAGCTATCCTACTACCGCAAGCCATGAATATTCCAACAAAGTTGAACCACAATTAAGACCAACTTTCTGAGGATGACAGAACTCCTTAAAGAAGTAAATGAATCCCTTAAAAAAAGCGGTGAAAGGATAAATGAAGTATTGGAGAAAATTAATAAATCCCTAAAAGAAAGCCAAGAACTAAACAAAGAATCAGTTGACAGAAATGAATGAATCTGTTCAAGACCTTAAAATAGAAATAGGAGCAATTAAAAAAATATGAACTGAAGTAAATATGAAAATGAAAATCTAAGTAATAAAATAAGACCTACAGCGGCATGCTTCACTAAAAGAATACAAGAACATTAAATAGAGAATTTCAGACTTTAAAAGCATGATCAAAGAAAGGGACATATTGATCAAAGAAAATGTTAAACCTAAAATTTCCTGAAACATAATATCCAGGAAAAGACCAATCCTAATAATAACAGTAAATGCAGAACAATCTCACACCAAAGGCACAGAAAAAAAGTTCAAAAATTCATAGTCAAAATCTTTCCTAACTAAATTGACACAGGAGTAGACAGGCCACAGAATCAACTAAGTAGGGCTCACAGGAGCTCACAGAGACTAAAATAGCAATCATGGAGACTGTGAGAGTTTGTACCAGGTCCCCTCTATGTTATCATATAACATATATATTATATGTATATATATATATATATGTATATAACAACATATTGCTGTTTTTGTGCAACTCCTGACGGTGGGAGTAGGGGATGTCTCTGACTCTTTTGCCTGCTCTTGGAACCCTTTTTCTTCTACTAGGTTGACTCATCCAGCCTTTGATATGTGCCTAGTCTTATTTCAATTTGCTATGTATGGCTTTATTGATATCTCTTGGGTATCTGCTCTATTCGGAAGGGAAATGAAGATTGAGTGGATCTGGTGGAGAAGGGAGTCGTGGAGAGGACTGAGAGGAATGGAGGGAGGGGAAACTGCAGCTGTGATAAATTTTAATTTAAGTGATGTGTGATGTCCTTCTGTATAAGTGTTGCTTTTATTGGGTAATGAATAAAGCTGCTTTTGCCTATGGCAAGGCAGAATATAGCTATGCTTGAAAAGATATAGAGAGTAGGCAGAATCTAAGAGATGACATGTAGCTGCCTGACCAGAAAGACACCCCAGAACCTTATCAGTAGCTCACAGCCTTGTGGCTGCAACACAGAGATTAAAAGACATGGGTTAAGATAAAATAGCTAGTTAATAAGAAGCCTGAGCTAATAGCCCACACAGTGCTGTAATTAATATAGTTTCTGTGTGATTATTTGGGTCTGAGTGCCCAGGAAATGAAACGCAGTCTCTGTTTACAAGAAGAATAAATTTTGAAGAGACAGAAATGTGGACACAAGTGAGGGAAGATTAACTCACAGTAACACTAAATTTTATATATATAAATTTTTATATAGCTCTCTCCTTTGCTACTTCAACTTCCTGTGTGTAGTTATCCATGGCAGATATCTCATAGCTTGGGTATCTCAACATCATATCATCTAAATATACAACTCTGTCATCATCTTCACAGCTTCATGCTGTCTTCTTATTATTTCCCCAGGCTCCTTTGGCATTCCTGATGACAAAGAGGGGATAAAGTTTGAATAATTGCCCTGCAGGGAGACAGGCCATCTCTTCAACAGTATAATCAACTTTTACAGGGAGGAAGGCAGAGTCTGTGGCAGTTGAATCAATACCATGGACCTATCAGGACAACACCAGCAGAGAACTTATACATGAAAATAGTAAGATTACTCATGAATTAAGGGTACAACTCAGATAAAACTCTGACTATTACTGCCCTAAGCTTCACTGAGCTCAAGAGAATATTGCTGAGCTTCAAGACCTGACAGCCAGCCTTCCAGAACTGTAAAATGTGTCATTGCACTATTCAGCCACATGGTGGCAGCACGCGTCTACTATACTGCTGACTGGCAAGAGACTATTACTCTGACAATTACTGTCCTGAGCTTCACTGAGCTCAAGGGAATATTGCTGAGCTTCAGGACCAGCCTTGCAGAACTGTAAATATGTCATTGCACTATTCAGCCACAAGGTGGCAGCACGCGTCTACTATACTGACACCTGCAAGAGACTCAAAAAGTACAGAAAATTGGTATTTTAGTAGAAACTCTTCCAGTCTCTCAGAGCACTTCCTGTTCCCCTTCCAAAATACGGTGTCCCTTGCTTGTGTGTTCCATTACAGAGTCACTGACCCGTATGATCAACCCTCTCCCTCATAGCTCAGATATTCTGAAGCCAAACCTAAGTCACATTAAAACAGCAACTCCTGATAAAACATAATTCATGATTTTTCTAATTTCTGCAAAGTCTTAGAGGCAAGAAGGTGATGACATAAATGAAGTAATTATAATGCAGAAGAATTAATCTAAAAGCTGAAACAGGTTTATGGTCATGGGCTCCAAAGCTTAGTGATTTATATTAGAGCACACCAAGGATTAGTAACACATTTTATCTCAGACTGTACATCTTAAATATGTAAAATAACAGTTCTTTTAGGAACGGGAACACCATTTTATCCAGTTCTATTTTGGTCATACTAGTGCAACTATTGGAATTTGGTTTCATAAGTTTGGTTCTTTATTCCGGTTCTTGATTCCTTACTCTGTGGATGCAAGAAATGGCCGGGCAGAAGATTTAACAATCATCTAAATTTGATTGACTCACTGCCTACTTCTTATGTGATCTATGGTCTAAGAGGGAAAGATTTCATGCTTCTTTTTGCCCATATCTGTCTGTACTGGGACTACACCTGATTTACAGTTTGTCAGTAAACTCAATTCTTGATTTGCAAGTTCACAATAAAATACAGATTAGTTGGAGGACACTCATCTAGTTTCCTTCTCACTGACCAATTAAGGCCCAGCCTTGCAGCAGCTGCAAGACTTTCTTTCCAGCACTGAGGAACAGAAGCAGGATTGGGTGTTCAAAACAATTCTAAACTACATAATTGTGAGAAAGGTAGTCAGCCTGGTCTACAAAGCTACTTGCAGGACATCCAAAGCCACACAAATACACCTCGTTGTGAACAACAAAAATGCATTAATTCAGTTGTCTATGATGTGCCCAACTGTAATTCAGGTACTGGAGATGAGGGGGGCAAATCGCTCTGAGGCAGTGGCTCCCACATTCACCACGGCCTGGCTTGTGGGCCTCCTTAGAGCTCCTTAGGGCAAATCAAGAGAACCCTGGAAGAACCTGTAAATGACCCCATAATGGCGCACCTGATTGCCCGCCATTATTAGCCCTCATCGCTAGGAGGGCCCAGCTGTGCCTCAGTTTCCCTACTGGGTGAGCAGAGATCAAATGACGCAGAAGGCAAAAATCTTTCCGGTTTGTCCTTCCAGACGACGGTCAGACAAGATCATAATCTCAGAAATTTGTCGTTTAGTAAAATCCTCTCTTCTCCCAGAGCACTTTCTGTGCTTCCTTCAAAAACCCAGGTAGGTACAGAATAAATATATATGAAAAATAAAAATAAAAATAAAAATAAAAAAAAAACCCAGGTAGGTCCTATGTGTACGTGTTCAGTTACACACCCAGTGTCCACTGTAGACAACCCTTTTACGTCATAACTGGGAGGCTGTGCAACCAAGGACAGGCCACATTCAAACAGTAATAGTTAAGCAAAGAGCCATGAACTAGAATACAATGGGAGGGATTAGAGGCAGGAAAGACACAGTGGAAATAATGGATTTATAATCCTAAAAAATTCTGTTAAAAAGTTGAAACAGATTTTATGGTCATGTGCTCCAGAGACAAGAGATTTGTATTATAGAACACCAAGTACGAATCACACCCTTTCTCATTTAAGAGTATACATCTTAAATATGGAAAATAAATCATGGTAGGCAGGGCCACACCATTTTATCCAGCTCTTCTATTTTACCTGAACTACTGAAACTACAGTCATTTGGTTTAATAAGTTCCTTTCTTTATACAGATTCATAAATACATGGTCTGTGGACCTACAGAATGGCCAGAAAGAACATTTATGGATAATATAAAATTAATGACCTCACTACTCACTGCTAATATCAACTACTGTCACAGCAGGAAAGTTTCTACCCTCCTTCTTGCCCATCCCTTTTTCTGATGTGACTACATTGGCTTCACAGTTGATCGGTGAACTCAATTCTTACACAGGTTTTACTTCACTTGTAAATTAACAATAAAATCTAGAGAAGGTGAAGGATACTCATTCACTGATCCATTTCTCCTTCACACAGACCAGTCAAGGTCCTGCCTGGTAGGAGTTGCAGAAATGTTTTTGCAGCACTAAGTAGCAATACTAAGTAGATATACAAAAAAACTCAATAAAATGCTAACAAGCTGAATACAAGAACACATCAAAAAAGAAATCATTATCAAGTCAGCTTCATCCCAGAGATGCAAGAATGGTACCACATACAAAAATCTATTAATATTTTTTTAAATAATTTAAAAAGGTACAGGAAATCTGAAGATAGTGGAGAGACCAGTAGGCTCTGAGTTGGGAAAATTTGGTGATATGTCTCCACATGCAACAACATAAGGCAGGGCCTTAGAAAAAAAGCACAGGCAGATTACCAAAGTCAGACAGGCCTACTTTCAAGTATTTTTTCTACAAGTTTTGAACTTAGCATCTGACATTTAGGTGTAAGGTCCATTTGCAGTAAATTTGTGGAAGATATAAATGGCGTCTCGTGTAATGTGTAGTACTCTACTACCAAGTCATGATGTAGAAAAGTAGAATTGGTGATATAAAGGATTGACCAATGCTTGAGACAAAAAGCCACACCAAGTAGAATTTAGCTGAGAGAGCAACCCAGGAAATACCAGAGACAAAGAGTATGTTAATATGGAATATTAGATATTTAGATGCGAAGATATAAATGCTTATTTTTTATTTTTTTAAGATTTATTTACTTATTTATTTATTATATACACAGTGTTCAGCCTCCATGTATGCCTGCAGGCCAGAAGAGGGCACCAGATCTCATTACAGATGGTTGTGAGCCATCATGTGGTTGCTGGGGTTTGAACTCAGGACCTCTGAAAGAGCAGTCAGTGCTCTTAACCTCTGAGCCATCTCTCCAGCCCTATAAATGCTTATTTAACTTTTCTGTGTACATGTATGTATGCAATGTGCCTTACCTTCACTGAGGACTGGATGGGGGTGGCTGCTTGTTTGTTCCCAGCTGCTCAGACCTGAAATATTCACACAGAAAACATATTATTTGTAATGCTGTTTTGTAACATGATGGGTCAGGAGTAAAACAATTCAGAGAACATAACATACAATATCAATATTCTCTGTATATCCCATCTTTATGTGGCTTTACTTCTATTTCTTTTGATTTTACTTTTTGAGACAGGTTCTCTGTGTCTTTGACCTGGAATCACTCTGTCGACCAGGCTGTCCTTGAACTCGTAGCTCTGTCCATCCCTGACTCACAGGCATTGGAATTAATGATGTGTCCTGCACAAACTTGAAGCCAGTGAGCTCAATCTGCTTCTGCTCCTTGAAGTATCACAGGTAAATCTACCTCTGGGTCCCAAGGATTGGGTTTAAAGGTGTGCACCGCCAAACCCAACTACTTCCTTTTTTCCAGTACTGTGTAAGTGTTTCCTGGCGGGACCTCTTAGAGAGCTGCAGAGTTTGGCAGCTAAAGCTGAGTAAGGGGCTGGAGAGATGGCTCAGTGGTTAACAGCATTGCCTGCTCTTCCAAAGGTCCTGAGGTCGAGTCCCGCAACCACATGGTGGCTCACAACCATCTGTAATGAGGTCTGGTGCCCTCTTCTGGCCTGCAGGCATACACACAGGCAGAATGTTGTATATATAATAAATAAATAAATAGGACCAGTCAAGGCCCAGACCTGAAGGAGTTGCCGGACTACCCACCCAGCACCACGCAGCAGAGGCAGGATTTGGTGTTTAAAGCAATTTTCAACTACATAGCCTGAGGCAACAACATTCTAAGTTCATAGTCTCCAATGCCAGGATGGCAAAGCCTCCCCGTCGCCCAGGGAATTCACATTCAACAAAGATCAGAGGCCAAGGGCCACTACCCAGGTCACCACACAAACTAACAGGACCTGTCTGGTTCATGGTGCATTGCTTTCTAAGCAGCTAACAATTCAGCCAACCTCCTCTTCCTGATGCTCCCTTCAGCAGAAAAGGAAACTCTTTTAAAGAACCGGTGCTCCTGATTACCAAGTATAGTCAGTCCTTCATTAGCTAGGATCACCCATCTGGGATGATCGTGTGGTCATATACTCCAGAGGCTAGGGATCTGTATTAGAGCACACCAAGTACAACTTACGTCATTCTCTGAGGGTATACACTCATGTTAGGCAGGACCACACCCTTTAATCTAGTTGTACTAGTTTGCTTGAAGTACTGTTTTTAAGTCCAGTAATTTGGTTTAATAATAAGTTCAGTTTTTTTTAAACATTTATTTTATTTATTATGTATACAATATTCTGTCTCTGTGTGTCTGCAGGCCAGAAGAGGGCACCAGACCCCATTACAGATGGTTTTGAGCCACCATGTGGTTGCTGGGAATTGAACTCAGGACCTTTGAAAGAGCAGGCAGTGCTCTTAACCACTGAAGCATCTCTCCAGCCCTAAGTTCAGTTTTTATACAGATCCTTGAATGCATGGTTTGTGGTGTGTCACTATTTATTGCTCATTTTATAGAGTTTTTGGGACCCTAAACTTAACCCTAACCTCTGAAAGTAGCTTGCTCCAATACAGAAAGGACCAAGAAGTGAGTGAACAGCCCCCCCCCCTTTCTAGGCCCTCCATAGTGAGCAAAAACCCTGGACCTCTACCCTGACTGCCTCTGTTTCTGTAGCAAATTTCCTGCAGGTAGGCTAGCCAATACCCACTCCCATACACTGGACGCTCACAAGCAGCAAACACCATCCTGCAACCAAATTCACCTATCCTGCAACCTCAGCGGAACTCAGAAATACAGCTCGCTACAATACTGAGAGGACCAAGATGTGAGTGACCAGGACCCCAGCAGAGGTCCTCACTAACCTGATGCAGGTTATGATTATCTAAGCAGCCTGCAGAAGTTCTGCTGAGAGGACATAGAGAGGAACTCTAGCTGTGAGAGCAACCCAGGAGAACAGAGCGAGAGCGCATGCTAAAGGAGACCTCAGTGGCTGCCAGAGACACAGAGCAGACCGAGAACAGTTACCAAAGACTCAGACAACCACTGCAAAAATCTGACCAAGAGCCGGGCGGTGGTGGCACACGCCTTTAATCCCAGCACTCAGGAGGCAGAGGCAGGAGTTTCTCTGTGAGTTCAAGGCCAGCCTGGTCTACAAGAGCTACTACAGGAACCAAAAGCTTCAGAGAAACCCTATCTCAAAAATCAAAAAAAAAAAATTGGACCAAGATGCAAAGACACTGTCAGCATCACTTGAAGGAAGAGATGGGTAGGCTCCAATGCCAAAATTTATCCAATAACCTAATAATCAATATGGTAAGATCAAAACCCGGTGATCACAGATCAGGCAGGTTTGATCATTATAACCAAGTAAAAGCAGAAGAAAAGGATTTGAAATGTAACTTCATGAAAAGGATAGAGACCTTTAAAATGAAATGAAAAACTCCCTTTAAAAAGGGAGATAAAAAAAAGCAGAAAATTGGAAGAAATAAATAAATCACCCAAAGAAACTCAAGAAAACAAAGGAAAAACAATCAAACTGGATTTTGAAGAAAGTTTAAGAAAATGGTTCAAGACTTACAGGCTGAAATAGAGGCAATAGACAAACTCTGGAAATGGAAAATCTGGGTAAATGAATAGAAACTACAAACAGAGTATAACCAACAGAATAGAAAAGATGGAAGAGAGAATCTCAGAGGTTGAAGATACCTAGATAAAATCAATTCATCAGGCAAAGAAAACATTAAACTTAAATTCTTAACACAAAACATCCAGGATATCAAAAGACAAAACCTAATAATAGGGACAAAAGGCACATAAAACATTCAAGAAAATTATAGAAATGAAAACTTACCAACTTAAAGAAGGATATCCCTATGAAGGTACAAGATTAAAGAACACCAAATAGAATGCATAAAAAAAATCCCCTCGCCATATAATGAATAAAAGACAAAACATACGGAATAAAGAAAGAATATTAAGAGCGGCAAAGGGAAAAGGTCAAGTCACATATAGGTCAACGTATCAGAAATACCCTGACTTCTCAGTGGAAACCAAGAAAGCAAGGTCCTGGGCAGATGTGCTGCAGACACTAAAATATCGCAGATGCAAGCACAGATATCTATCTATGCCCAGCAAACCTTTCAATCACCATTGATGGAGGAAACAAGATATTCCATGACAAAACCAGCTTTAATCAACGCACAGCCACAAACCCAGCCTTACAGAAAGTACTACAAGGAAAACCCCAAACCAAGAAAGCCAACTTCACACACAAAAACTCAGGCAGCAGAGAACCTCACATCAGCAAAGGCCACCTGCAAAGACATTGTATCCAATAAACCACAAGTATTTCACAGATTAACAGCAACAAGGAAAATAAAAAAGTAAAATTTTGCGACCAAGTTCTCTCTGCCTGGGTCGAAGGTGTAATAATCTCATCAGGCGACATTCCAAAAGTTTGCAAACTGAGCTTCTACCCTTTCTGAATAACACGCAGCACAGCTGACAGATACGAGACAATAATTTTTACAGGTGACACATGTTCATGTACCCACAGGATGGGTCCTTGCTGCCAAAAATCTCCAGTAGGACTACGCTAGGAGGGGAAAATTATCAACAGCGGCGGCTGACTATAGTCAATATCATGAATATGAGCAGAGGCGAGTTTTTCTTCAATTAAAGCAATCCATTGCCTTGCCTGAGGTGTTAACTCACGACAGGAAGTCGGGTCTGGATTCCCATGCAGAATGTCAAAAAGTGGTTTTACGTCCCCAGTAGGAATTCCCAGACTGGGCCGGGCCAAATTTAGGTCTCCAAGCAACGTTTGAAAATCATTCAAAGTTTGTAGTTTACCTAGGCCAAGAGTGACTTTCTGCGGTTTTACGCCTGTCCGCAATAGCTGATGCCCTAATTGTTGATGTGGAAACTGTTGTTGTACTTTTTGAGAAGCAATAATGAACCCAGCATGTGCTCGGCATTCTTGCAAATCAGCAAAAGCCTCTAGGACAATTTCTGGGTCCCGTCCAGCTAATAGGATGTCATCTAAATAATGACTCATATACAGTTGAGAATATTTATGCCTTATTGGGGCGATAACCCGTGCCACAGACATTTGGCAAATGACAGAATTATTGGCCATACCCTGGGGCAATGTCACCCATTGGTAACGATTGTATGGCTCTTTGAAATTTACAGATGTTCCACTGACAGCAAATTCATTGGAGTCTTTAGGATGCAAGGGAATGGGGAAAACACAATCCTGCAGGTCACTAACTAAAAGATGACATCCTGCAGGAATACCCACAGGCTGAGGCAACCCAGGCTGAGTTGTCCCCATAATTTCCATGCAATCATTTAATGCTCTAAGATCTTGTAGCAACCTCCATTTACCAGACTTTTTCTTAATAACAAAGATAGGGGTATTCCAGGGAGAAGTGGATGGCACTATGTGCCCTGCTTCTAGCTGTTCCTGAACTCGAGTTTGAGCAGCCTGTAATTTCTCTTTACTCAGGGGGCATTGGTCTATCCAAACAGGTTATTTGTTTTCCATTTTATAGGAATACTTTCTGGCTGCTCTGCAATGGCCCCTAGGAAAAATTTCCTAACCCTGCACACTGTTCAGGAGACTGTTGTATCAATTTCTTGTCTGCTAAAATCTGTACATCTCCCTGCAGATTTTTGCCTAAACCCTGACCAGGGAGAAAGCCCTGCTTTGATAGCATACGCTGCACAGGTTCAGTGGCCACAACTGCTCCCATGGCTTGCAAAACATCTCTTCCCCACAAATTAAGAGGAAGGTGTTCCAGGACAAATGGTTTAAAAATGCCCTTATGGCTTTCTTCGTCCTCCCAATTTAAATATTGAGTACTGCATTCTGGAGAACTGGCCGTGCCCACTCCCTGCAAGGTCGTAGATGCTAGTTGTAGAGGCCATGCTGCAGGCCAGTGCTTTTTAGCAATCACTGAAGAATCAGCCCCTGTATCAGGAAGGCCTTGAAACCTTTTCCCATTGATTGTTAAAGTAAGTGTGGGGCGATTCTCTAGGCTAGAAACCCAAAAAGCTCCAGGGGAGCCTGTGGAGCCAAATCCCTTGTCCCATTGCTCTTGTTTAAAGAAAGGGTTAGTAGAGCAAAACATGGGTAAAAGCACTAATTGAGCTATTCTCGCTCCTTGAGGGATGACAAGGACTCCCATACCAGCTTCAATCATAATTTTAATTTCTCCAGTATAATCACAGTCTATAATTCCTGGTAAAATTTTGATTACTTTGAGCGCAGAACTACTTCTACCTAAAACTATACCTACTGAACCTTCTGGGATAGGTCCAAATACTCCAGTCCCCAAGGCCTGCACACCCATTTGTGGGGTTAATACTGCTCAGGCGGAGGTACAGGGATCTAGTCCTGCACTTCCTGAGGTGCCTCGTACAAGGTCGTTGACAGTGAGGCATTTCTCTGAGGAATGAATCTGCTGGGAGCTGCTGCTCCCTGATCATGGCCCGTACACTTGAGTTTTGGGGGCCGGGGCAGGACCCCCCCCCCGTTTTTTGACCTGGGGATGAGATTTCCTTGACTGTCAGTCTTAGAGTGACAGTCTTGGCCCAATGTGCTCCCTTTTGACATTTAGGGCAAATACCTGGATTTCCTCTAGGCTGATTGACAGCTCCTTTGCCAGCAGGGCAGTTTCTTTGGAGGTGCCCTGACCTTCCACATTGAAAACAATTTCTAGGTCTAGCTCCATTTTGGCCTTCCTTGAGCGCAGAAACAATTACCTGGCCCATTATGTGAGTGCCATCAATGTCTCTGCATAATCTGATAAAGTCATTCAAATCTCCATCTCTATGGGGGCATAAAACTTCCTGGCAGAACTTATTTGCATTTTCAAAGGCCAGATGCTTAAAGACTGGCATGGCTGAATCCACATCCCCAAAAATGCGACTTCCCACCTGTAGAAGGCGGTCAATGAATTCAGATTAAGGTTCTGAAGATCCTTGAAGGATCTTAGAAAGCTGTTCTCATGATCCTTTGTTAGGTAAAGTTTTCCAAGCCTTAACGGCTGCTGCATCTATCTGAGTATAAATAGCAGGATCATAAGCAATCTGTGCTTCTAAGCCAGCATATTGTCCTTCACCAGTTAGCTTGTCAAGGTTATTCTGGGGGAAGCCTGCTTCAGCATTTTTGACTGCAGTGTTTTTGCAATTCTTCTGCATCTCACCTCTCCATAACAAATAATCTCTCCCTGAAAGACAAGCCCTGCAAAGCTGCATCCAATCATTGGGTATAAGGTTGAGTTCTGCAAAGGATTCCAACAAAGCTACAGTGAAAGGAGCGTGAGCTCCATAGTCCACAACTGTTTCTTTTAACTGCTTAATGTCCTTAAAGGCCAGGGGGTTATGCTGCCTGGCCCTCTGTCCCTGCTGATCAATTTTTTTTCCACAACAGCATAAATCTGTTTCTCAATTTGCTTCTCTCTACTTAGTTTATTTAACCTCTCCCAGATCTCTCGTATTTCTGCCTCTTAGTCTATAGGGGCAGAAGCAGTAGTACCAGGATTTTGCGGAGGAGGTCTCATGGAGACATCTCCATTTCCGTCCCTTCTTTCCTCTTTCTCTAACTTCTTTTTTATCAGTGTGATCTCCTTTTCTAAAATTTCTTCTATATTCTTACTAATACTACCAGTTCCTAAAACTTCCTGTTCCTCAAAACTCTTAATAGGACTTACAGATTCTACTTCCTGAATCTCCTCAAGGGTTTTGTTTAAACACTCCAATTGCTCTTTGACTCTAACATCATCACTGAGAAGAGCATCTCTGACCAGGCGCCATAGTGAAAATATCGCCATGGGGACTTCTTGTGGCCCTTGCTCTTTCAGAGCATCTTGAAGAGCAGCCTTTACCTGATCCCAATCAGTAATGTTAAAACCTCCTGCATGTAGGAACCAGGGACTAAACTTTAAAACTGTCTAAATGGTCTCTAGTGCTGTCTCAACTTTAATACCGGTGCCTCTATTTTCCAAAAGACCTAACAACTGGCCTGTTAACCGGCCCTCCAACATAGGAGCAGAATAACTTGCACCCATAACCAATTCACCCCCGCCACACAATTTCTTACCTTGCAGGCCAGTCTTCCCGAGGGCTACCTCTCAGGGATTCCCTACTTCTCGATCTCGCAGATGGGTCTAGTTGCCGAAGATCATCCCAGCTGAGTCTCCAATTGTAACACCCGATTTCGGTGTTACACCCCCCGGTACAGTTCGTGCACAGCTGTACCGAATGCGAGTCCGGGCAAGTGCCTGGAGATTGAACACAAGACACAGAGACCAGGGTCATTCGACAGGAGATCAAGCGACAGGAGATCAAGCGAATGCCATTTATGTTTATTCAGACTTGAGGAAGCCTTTTTCTACCTAACTGCAGCACAAAGATCTCTCTGCCCAGGGAGGTGGTAAATTAACATATTAACAATGGAGAAGATTGCCTGCAGCTAAATCACCAGGTGGGGCAGGGATAGCACGGAAACACACAGGAAGGTTAGTTAACTGATAACAATCTGTCCCGGCCAACGCACCCCAGGAATAAGGGAGACCAGGCGCCCACAGCTATAACAATCGTGAATGTGAATAATATTTAAGATAAATATTTAGAAAAATAGAATACTTAAATTCTACTTTGTGTTGGGAATATTTCCTAAGCGAGCTCTCT